CTCTCTCTCTCTCTCTCTCTCTCTCTCTCTCTCTCTCTCTCTCTCTCTCTCTCTCTCTCTCAAGCAGCGAATCGAGACATCACCGCGGGAAGCAAAAAGTATCGTCGAACCGAGTCGCATTCAAGCAGCAAAGCAATTGAAACAGCAAAGCTGAACATCACGGCGGGAAGCTGCACATAAACGCAAAAGCAGGATCGCCGATCGGGCCTGCATTGGACGGCCCGATAGAAGTTTCGGGAATCGCCTGGCGCCGATCCCGAAAACTCTATCGGGCCGTCCAAAGCAGGCCCGCTCGACAATCCCGACGACTCTCACCGGTTCGGCCCGGGCCGAAAGACGTAGGCGGTATCTGTCGGGCCCGCCTGCCGGTCCCACTGCGTTTCCCAACAGTGGACAGCGGCCTCGCGCGGGAGAGTTATGCGAGGACCGCTATTTGCGTAAAGACTGTAATGGAAAACAAGACTGCTTCCCACGGCAACTACGACTGTGGCATCATGGAAGAGAGAATGTTGAGCAAATGTCTTTCTTGTATTTTGAACCACCAATACATCCGGTCCTCTTTTGTAAGAGGCGGACTCCCACTGCACACCAAGCTTTGCCAAAACGCCAGTGCGGCCTTTTCGTTTTTTTTTTGGCTGCTGCGGCCAGCCATTTTGGTCGGTTGCCCCAAGCCTCCAATTTTTACGGAGAGGGTCAGTCTTGATTCTCAACTTGGCTGGGGCCATGTGCTGAAGGCTTAAGAATGAAGTTGTTCTGCTGGCTCCGTAGTCCAGGCAGGAGGGGGGAAAGAGCAAGAGCTATTTATGGTTCATCAATCAAACCTGTGTGTGTGCTTCTGTGCCACGCACGGGTCTTCCATACAGTCCCCGGCGCGGACGGGGGGGTAGGGGGGGCTCAAGTAGGGGCACCTTATGGCTGCCCATCACATTTCTGGGTGGCCATAAGGCCGTGGTCTGACGGGCAGCCTCATGCCCAACAGTGCCTTCCGCCCGGCATGGGAAGAAGGCCCATAAATTAGAAGAAAGTGGGTGTGCCAAGGATTTTAGGAAAGATGGCGGTGCAGTTACAGATCAGAACTCAAACCTCCGTGTGTCGGTTGCGGAACGAGTTGGGTCAAGGGGAAGGAAAGGGAAAAATGACAACAAAATTTACTAATTACAGGGGCGCAAATTGCGGGGGGGGGGGGTTGCAAGAAGGGGAAAAAAAAACTATGGTTCTGCAAAAATTATTTACAAATGGCTGTCTCATCAGCGACACCTTCGTATTCCTGGGCGGAATGTTGTGGGTGTACATGTGGGGATGTGGGGATCACCGATGGTGCACTTACGTGTCCCACAGAGTCTGGGATCTGGGGCAGAAGGCCGCAATCATGCCTTACTTTCGCGGGTTTCCTCCTCTATGTGGGTTGTGATGCAAAACCTTGCTGGAGATAGAGATCCTGCCCAGTCTATTAGTGGGGAGCAGCACATGCTGGGAACGGGGCCCAGCATCCCATTCGAGAACATATTGAGAAACATATGCATAGCAATTTGAGGTACCGGGGCCATTACCCGGCTTCGGCTACGAATGGTCGCTAAGATATACAAAAAAATTGAGTCAGAAAAATCCAAGGATAACTGACCTACCCAGTCAGGCATGGCTCAAACGACAAAATAAACTCAACTAAACTCAAAGACCCTAAAAAGAGCCAGCACAACCCAAACCAGGATAAATGACGCTCAGCTGTCCGAACCTCAATCTGTTTCAACCACCCATCCTCGTTATCAAGACTCTTCAAGGCCTCACACCCCCAACTGCTACGGTACGGGACAGCACGACCTGCCTCAGAACACTCCCATCTGTTAGGCTACAGGGTGGAACAACCCACCCCGGCTCCGACCAGAGTCATCTTGATAACAGCCCTAAACAGCCCCTGAACCGCCGTCCCCTCTTGACAATTCCCCAGACCTCTTACCAGGCCTCCAGAGCCCTCGTCACGCTCGAGTTACAGGGCAGCACGACCAGCCCCGCAGCTCCGACCAGCATCGATCCAGCTCGGCCATTCGAAAGCCTAAGAGTGAAGTGGCAATTAGCGCAGTATCAAGCGAACTGCCAAGCATCACTGCAGTCCAAATTTCAGGTTACTAGCACTGGAAATATACAGATCCTCCCACTTCCCTACACCCCCCCTACTCTTCATCATCTTCCGACGAGCCGACCTCCTCCACCACATGGTTCAGAAGATCAGACCGGTGGGCAAGCAACCTCACCGGATCCCATGACGATAAAAGCAGACTTCAACTCTCCATCTTCTTTCGACGAGCCGACCTCCTCCACCACATAGTTTGAAGACGAAGAATACAAGTAGTCCACCCAATCGCGAAGTAGGTGCAGCACCCAAACCAACCATCACCTTGCCTCCTTCCGGCAAAGACTCACTCAGCTAAGCCACCATCTCAGCTGCCGCTACGCCCTAATCCTATCCCGCCACCTAGCCCTCCTCACCAGCAGGACGCAATTTTACCAATCCTTAGATATCCCCCTCCAAGTCAGGTACCACCCATCTTCCGCAGATGAAGAAAGGGACAACTAATCAGTACCTCGAGAAGCCCCCCCACACACTTACCTGCAAACCCTCTTACTCAACTTCATCTCGCAACGAGCCAACCTCCTCCACCACATAGTTCGCAAGATGGAGAGCAGTAACCAAATGGTCTCGCAAGACCCCACAGCGAGTAACCGCAGCCTACCACTCGTCTTGTCCTTGCGACGAGCCGACCTCCTCCACCACATAGTTCGCAGGAAAAACAAAAGTAATCCACCGAATAAAACTCACCGTCCGTACCCAACACCCCAAAACTGATCAGAAACCCTCACCCGCCTGCCCTCAACAAAGATATCACGTGAGAGGAAAATAATCCACAAAGTTGACCATTCTTCAGACTCGTACTTAGACTCACATTCTTTGAAGCTATGCAGATTCAAACTAAGGAAACACGAATTTCGGATGAACACGGACAAAATCATTCAGAAAATCTGAAGCTAGGACTTCGCTATTTAAGATCGCAGATTATAGCAGCAGAAGCACAAACCATCAAAATAGACTAGTAAGCTTTTGAAAAAAGAATAGGAAATCGATTTTTGATATCCGAATGGATTCGCGACTCTGATTTCCGAATCCCAAGCTATTCACAATCACCGAGTCACCGAACATGAAATTTAGAGACAATTTATTGGAAGTCATCGATCTAACCTAGCTACGAAATCACAAAGGGAAACAGAGATCGCTCGGGCATCAAGCCAAGAAGGACAATCCGGCGTCTCACAAAACATCAAGGCGTGCAATACCAGCGTCCAATCATGTCGCGTCCATCTCCCCCCAAACCTTCACCCCCTACCTTGTCGCCTCAAAGGCAACTCAACCATCCCATGGCCACTTTCTCGGCCATCGAATCGTAAGGCTGAACAATGAGAACCGTTGAACCGTGGCTTCACATCACCTCTCTCTTACCACATAGCAAGACAAAATTGTCGAGCCTGCTGGCAACCCCTCACTGGTAGTCCGGGTGAGAGACAGACATTCCATGCTGGCGAGACACCTCTTCAACCCTTCATTACCACGTGCCACTCGTTCTGCTTCGTGGCCGCCGCTCCCGAGATCGACGTTGTAAAACCAGTAACCTTCGAGGCAGCTACCACCCACATATCGGGAGAAAGGAATAGTGAAGCACAAGTTGTCCCCACCCAAACCAATGGAGGGAAGAACCACGCCCACTCACATCACGCTCAGCCCTCCACTCCATTCCTGCCTCCTCCCATCCTTGCGCACCACCTCTCCGTAGCTAGCAACTCGAAGCGACCCCCCTATAGGCACAGCCACCCAAAACCACTCGATATCTCCCCCAACTCATCGCCATACACACCGCAAGGAACACCAAATACGCTCGCAGCATCATGAACTCGAACTTGGCGACCCCCCTATAAGCACAGCCACCCAAAACCACCCGATACCTCCCCCAACTCATCGCCATACATACCGCAAGGAACACCGAATACGCTCGCAGCATCATGAACTCGAACTTGGGCAAAGTGACGATCTCCTCCCCCAGCCAAAAGGAAACACCCAGCCTTTGCACCACCATCCCAAGTCCACCTTCCACTCCCCTCCTTTCGCTCACCATCACTACCCCACCTCGCTCATCCCCATCCCCTCCTTGCTCCCACCACCACTGTGAACGTTCCTTTTGCCACCCGCTTCACTTCCCCCATCGCGACGATATTCACCCTTCAAGTTGCCGCATCATGCTACTTTGCACCCACTCTCTTCACGCGCCGCTCCACACTCGCACTCGCCACGCCCTGCTGCCTCGTGCTCCCGCGATTCCGGTACCGGGCCGGGCGCAGCGCTCCCGGCCGCACTGCGCCCAAATCTTTCCGAGATCCTCGCGCCTACACTCAGAACAATGTGTGCTCGTCCAAAACTCGCTATGGCAAGGGCCATGGAATGTCCTACGTTGTTTTACACCCGCTGCAAGGAAAGTCGTTCACAACTTCATTCATGGGTGCAACACGATCATACCACTCCATCGACACGCTAGAGTGCACTCAAGGCCATCAAACATAGAGAAGATATGGGCTAGATTCAAGTCCAAAAGCCAATAAACACGACAAAACCGATTCCCACACCCATCACTCAGTAGAGCAATGGAGGCGAGCGAAGGTAGGCTCAAGCTAGCGCAAAGCGCAGCTGTAGTCAAAGCCTGTCTGACTGTGAGACCTACAAGTCGAACAGAGAGGAAAGTGGGTCATAGTGATCTGAGGGCCCCGTGTGGGAGGGCTCTCGCTCAACAGATGAAGGGTACGCTGGGGAAAACAGGCTGATGACCCCCAAGAGCTCATATCGATGGAGTTGTTTGGCAACTCATCATCTTGGGGTACTTACACAGTAATGTGTAGGCGCAAAGCTGGATATATGCTGGGAACTCCCAAGTCGTGAAGAGATTCGCACTGAGGAAAAGCTCCACTTCCATCAACATAAAATGACAAAATGGAAACACATCACCCCTCTCTCTGCCACATGACACACCACCAACGGCCCACCAAACTAGTCAAAAGCTCGCACGCACCCCGACACTCCGTCTGTCGCCGTGCAGCTGTCGAACCCTCCACCAATCGTCACCGCACAGATACGATACCCGCATCCTATCGCGCATGCCTAGCAGTTCGTCGATCACCAAAGGCATAGCCAATCCACCCGATCTGGCTACTTACAAGAAGAAGAGAGAGCAACGGGGTAGTGCTCGCTAGTTTTGTAGGTGCACACGGGTGGAAGATTGCACGCATGGAGGCGATCAGTTCTATGTGGGAAACTGAAGGCACGACGTGCAGAAAGTCATGCCAAGAAACGGCGAGATAGAAATGGGGGCTGCATTACACCCTTGATACTCGCCGACACAACAGACTATCACGGAGAGAAGAATTCGCTGACAGGTCAGGTTGTTAACAATAATCGGCAGAACCAATGTGCAGTTCTACGGAATCTGACCACACCCAGAAACGGGACATGAAAGGTTCAGGTAAGGTATGCAGTACTATGCACTATTTCGAATGTCTCCACATGCAAGAAACACATAAACACAGCTGCTGAAGTTTACAGACACTTAGACACTGTGAGTCCGTCCCTCCTCTATACAAAGGACATGCCATGAGAGGATGGTGAAGATCAGTTTAGTACAGACTCTGCAGAGTCATCAAGAATGTCAAGACAGGGACATGTATGGACCACACCATCAAAGTGCTCGCAACATCGGGAGTGCTGATTGCACACTATCATCTTCACCCAAATAGAAGGCCTGGTCATTATGGCTGTACACAGACTGAAAGTTGCCACAAGTACAGCTATTAATGGCGGGGCGTTCTATTCTAATGAAAAAAACGGTAGCCCAACATGCACTGAGGTGTCGCACACAGACTGAACATCCACTAACCAAACATCCACCGAGTGTGCACGCAGCTTCCAGGGCTGTTGTGTGTATGGTGGTGAAATGGTCCATGACTAGTCGGAAAGTGATTTTGTGGGTAGATTCAGAATAATTGTGTCCAAGAGCTCCGGGATCTCACCCGAGGTTTAAATTCTCTGCTTCCTCATGCAGCTGGCAAGGTTGGTCTGACTTCAGGACCGGCTCCAGCATCGGTGCACTACCTGGCTGTAGCATCTGCGCAGCGTTTGGCTACAGTCTCCTCTCACTGCCCAGTTGTAATGGAAGAAGTTGAGCATCAGAAGTGAGCGGAGCTAGACCAGTGTGGCAAACAGGACATGTCTCCAGTAAGCGCGGGGAGCGACAACAGCTTCCTGGAAACAGTCATCAAAAATAGTGGCAGCAACTCAACAAGGCACTTCAAGACCGAGACAGCATGCTGGGCAGGTGATAAATGGGTGAGGTGGGTGGGTGCAAGATATCTATGCTTCACAGTTCTCAAGGAAGATGATGGAGTTCATTCGAAACGAATTCCAAAAAAAGAAAAAAAACTGTTGAGATCCAAAGAAATATTAGTGGACCACCTAGTGTTCAGCACTGGGCCAAACTTTCGGCAGTGGGGGTAGTCTCCCACCCCCAAAAGACAGGTAAGTAGATCAGAACAGGCTGAAAGGTACATGGCAGAGAGAAAGTGGCAGAGAACAAACATGTGAGCATGTATGAGTGACCGTGCATGAGACAATCAGGAGTAGTGCAACTAGGCCCTAAAGGCGCAACAAGGCAAATTATGGGTCTGGCTCCACTACTCAGTACATGCACAAAAGACAATAGCGGAAGATTCATTCTCAGTTTTGCACACTTGGTGAGTAGAGTGGAGCAAGGCCCAACAAGCTGTTCAGTCTTTGCATCTCCTGCAGATGGCAAAGATGAGAATCTTCCTCCAGAACACGGGAAAATACACCGGCATATTTTGTTGTGGGTGGGTGGGTCGGTGGGTTGGTGGTGGGTGGGTGGTGGATGGCAGTCCGCTCTCACCTTCTTTTTTTTTCTTCTTTTTTCCTTCTTTTTTTTCCTTCTTTTTTTTCCTTCCTTTTTTTTCTTCTTTTTTTTCTTCTTTTCTTTTCTTCTTTTTTACCTTCTTTTTTTCCTTCTTTTTTTCCTTCTTTTTTTCCTTCTTTTTTTCCTTCTTTTTTTTTTAATAGTCCGCTCTCACTTTGGAGTGCGGCACAGATTAGGGCTTGAAGCATTCATTAGGGGGGCTTCTATAGCTGGCTGATGAAAGTTCAGCCTCTGCTGGCTGATGAGCTGGTGAAAGTTCACCGGAGTTATCCTTAAGCTGGCTGATGCCAGTCTCGCTTAACTTCGCTGATGCCATGTCTTTTTGACATTAAATTAAATTAAAAATATAATAAATAACTACTAAACTAACTACATCGGCAAATTCGAAATAATATAAACTCCAATTACTATTTTCGAACCCTTCACTTTTTTTTTTCTTTTTTTTTTTTTGCCCTTCATTTACTGTCTGTAATTTCTAACTTTACCCTCCTAATTTCTTTGATCTTTCTTTTTCCTTCTTCAATTGCCTACTCAACCTTTCCCTTCTCAAATTCCCCTCTCCATCCCTGGTCGTTGATTTTTTATTTTTTTTTAACTCCCCTCTCGATCCCTTTTCTTTTTTTTTCCCCAAATTTTCCGTCTCGATCCCTTCCTTTTTTTCCCTTTTTTTTAAATCGAAATTCCCCGGTTTATCCTCGGGTAGCAAGTTGAGTGGATCCCCCTCTCAGGATTAATTCCTTTGCCATTTGCCCCTCTCCATCTGACTGATTTGGAGTATGCCCCTCTCAATCCCTTACCTAATTTGGAGTTTCCCTAGTGACCAAAGAGGAAAACACTTAGTCAGCATTTCCGTACATGAAAAAGGCAAGAGGGGGAGGGATTCGATTAGGAGAGAGAGAGGCAGGAGCGAGACAGAGGGAGGAGAAACGCAGCAGAGAGGCAGAAGAGAGAGAGAGAGAAAGAGAGAGAGAGGCAGGAGAGAGATAGAAGAGAGGTAGAAGAGAGGCAGGAGAGAGGTAGGAGAGATAGGAGTGAGGTAAGAGAGAGGCAAGAGAGAAATACCTGCACTACAGCGAAGAGGGCTTGAGGTTTCTCCGAGTATGGCTCATCCTTGACATCGATCTTGCCAATCAGCGAGTAGCCAATCTCTGCAGCCTCATCAGTTTCCGGTCGTTGATTGATTAGATTCGTCGTCTCCTCACTGCCATTATCGAGATTGGCATCGTCCAGATCCCGATCGGCTGCGGCCGATACCGACATCCGCTGTTCGTCCGGGTGCGGACTCGAGTCCTTGTCTTCTTCTCGAATCTCTTTATTGTTGACATCAACGACCGATGCCTGGGAGAAGGAGGAAGAGGCGGCGGTGCTGTCCTCTTCGGAGATTGGAGGTTCAAAGCTGACCGTGGCGGCGGCAGCGGCGGCGGTCGAGGAGGGGGAGGAGGAGGAGGAGGAGGAGGAGGAGCAGGAGGAGAAGGAGGAGGACAACGACGATGATAACCAAAACGATGAAGAGGGAGAAGGATAGGAGGCTGCGGAGGTGGACGAGGAGGAGGATGAGGAGGAGCAGATCCCTATATCACCATCAACAACGCTTTGCACAGTTCCATGAGATACGCCTCTGCTTAACGATGACATCCTCGCTTGAGAGGAAACGCCTCTGCTTACCGATTCCATCCTCGCTTGAGAGGAAACGCCTCTGCTTAACGATGCCATGCTCGCTTGAGAGGAAACGCCTCTGCTTAACGATGACGGAGACGACGAGGACGATGATGGATGAGAGAGATCATTGACGGATCTTGTCAGATTCCCGCCAGAGGGGAGGTACCTCTCACCACGGGCGGAGAACGAAATACAGGAGAAGAGGACACGTGGCCCAACCATGAGTCGATTTCCGCCATCGCCATGGCTTGGTTGACGGCCACGTGGCCGTCCTTGTCCATCGCACCCGCTGGAGGGCGAAGGCAAGAAGAGGGACAGGCAGCCCCGACGCTGCGTGGGCAAGGAGGGAAGGAGAAGAGCTGCAGAAGGAGGAGGACATGAGGAGGAAGAAGACGAGTCGAAGGAGGAAGAAGAAGAGGAGAAGGAGGAAGAAGAAGAAGTGACCGCCAAGTGCGTGGAGAGCCATCTCCTTCTTCTTCTGGTTTGTTCGTCATTGTCGGCGATGGCGGGGTGAATTGAGCTCTGGCTATGGCTGAAGTTGCAAGAAGAAGCCGGAGGGTAGAGGAGAGAAGGACTCTTCTCCGCTCCTGAAAGAGATGACATCCATCCTTGCTGATGGCGATGGCGGGGCTGATCAGCTCTGGCTATGGAGGACGGGGCAGCAGACATGGAGACGACGTTAGGATCAAAGCCACGCCGCCATGGCGTGCTCAGAAACTGCGTAGCTCTTCGTCTACAAACTGCAGCCATCTTCTTCTCCGTTCTGGCTATGGCGATGACTGGCCCCCTTCCCTTCTCTCTCTCCTCCCTCTCTCCCTTCTCTCCTCCCTCTCTCCCTCTCTCCCTCTTTCCCCTGTCACATGTCCACGTCAGCAAGCGCTCGCTCAGCCTTCCCCATTAAAAGGCCTCGTGCCTAAAGATTTCCGTAACTGGGTGGAACATGCTCACACTGGGCCGTTCTGGAGTGAACCGTGAATCCGGGCAATTCCATCCGCTTGTGTGAATTCTCCCTCAGCCGCCATTGCCCATTCATTCAATCAACCTCTGCCCAGAGGCCGACATGTCCGGCTCCTCTCCATTGATTGATTGATTGATTGATTGATAGATTGATTAATTGATTGATTGATTGATTGATCGAGTGACCCGACAGATTGACAGATCGATTGATCGGTCGGCTGATCGTCGTAGCCTACCACGACAGATTGGGCCTCGCTTCGCTACTCACCAAATATGCAAAACCAGGATGAATCTTCCGCTACAACATGGACATATACACCGCCATTATCTTTTGTCTTCTGTGCATGTCGTGAGTAGCGGAGGGAGGCTCAATGACAGATTGATCCGCTCATCTATTCGGTGTAAACCAACGGAAATACAAACAAAAAAAAAAATCCAAAAGAAAACTTATATCGCAAATCTTTTTATTTATTTTTTTGGTGACCCCAACCAAGGCAATTACCTGTCAAAACTGGACAGGACGGCCTTACAGGCCTTTCTGTGTCGTGCCCCTCAAAATTGAATTTATTTGCATCGCGCCTCTCTGACGGGCAATTTATTTGCATCGTGCCCCTGCGGCCACTAAACGTTTCTGCAAGCCCCTGTCAGCCACTAGAGGGGCGCAACTTCCCGCGGGATGCCCTTTCTGGGACCGGTCCCATTTTGCACCGGTCCCTCCCCTATCTATTAGGGGCATACTAAGGGGGAAAAAAAAAAAAAAAAAAAAAAAAAAAAGGGTTGGGAAAAAGGGGCATAATGCCCACGGGTTTATCGCAGCAACGTTGAATCATAGTTAGAGGGGCGCGACAGGGTAAGTCGGCCACTAGAGGGGCGTGATGTGAATAAATTCAACTTTAGGGGGGTGACACATCATTACGGTATTACAAGCTGGGAACACCATAGCCGGCAGATGTGTGTTCAAGCCTCCAACGAGGGAACGTGCAGGGCTCCCTGCACCTGACCTGCAGGTGCACCATACCGGCCAGGCCTCAGCCCCTAGCATCCATGTCGATAGAGGGGACCAACGGGCCGCGAGGGGAGGCACACTGACTAGCCCATAGGAGAAACTTCATCCTAATGCTACCGGCTGACCCTAGCCGGGTATTGCCTACCTTCTTCCCCTGAACATAACACATATGCGTTGTATTCGAGTTTCACAATTTAAAAAATCGAATAGAACGCATATGCGTTGTATTCAAAATTTAAAGCTATTCAAATAGAACGCATATCTGTTGTATTCGAATAGAACGCACCCTACCGTTGTATATTCGTTTCCAATGCATACGTGTTATGTTCGGGGGAAAAAGGTAGTTGTTGAAGCAGGTATTGCACCTGCTGGTGGGTGCAGCTCTCACATGTCCCCTCAAGGGATATCACTGCTACGAGGATAATACTATAATGATCAGGGTTACCTGCATTCGGTTAGGGCCGAGCCCCCGAGGCGGAATGCTCGAACGTTCAGCTCCCCTCAGCTAGACGTTCGGCCCGAATGAGAACCTTATATATAGTCACAAACAGAACTGCCCGGTAAACTGTAGGCAGAGAGAGAGAAGAGGACAACAAACGAGGGGTTGTGACAAACTGTTTCGTCGGAGTTTCATCGACTCATCAGGAGGCTGAACCCTCAACAGTCTGCAGAATCCCCACTGATTACACTGTAAATGATAATCTACCTTAACCAAAATCAAAGTAGACTATCAGTCACCCACACCAGATGGAAAACTCATATATATGTATATATATATATATATATATATATATATATATATATGTATGCAAGGAAAATGAACAAAAGCGAGATGACAATATTCAAATTGCACAATCACATTGAAAGCCAAATCGTAGCACAATGTTCAGGAAGCCGCATTGCACCAATATAACACCAATGGAGAATCAAAGCACTGAAAGTCAATGTCAATGAGAGCTTGCTCTCGCCACCACCAACATGTGTATCCAGTCTCTATCTCCCTACTTGGCGCTCGACGCCCAGCCTCCTTCCTACACAGCTACTAGTAGCCTACAAATTAAAAATGCAACTGTTGACGTCAGCAACACCCGAAGTACTTTAAGATGTCGTCCATGCAGAATCATCGCCAATACCAGGTATGTGCCCTCACATCATCATCATCATCATCCTTCTCTCTCCCCCTTGACTCTCTCCCACGTCTCACTTTGTTGTACAACCGAAGACCACCCATGCGCCTCACTGTATGCCCAAGCCCACAACCAGCTATGGAGGTTGGGCTATGGCGTTGCCGTCATCAGCGCCTTGCTTCACCACACGACCGCACGTGCGCAGCCTCTTGCTCCAATGCCAACAGCGAGCACGCGAGTTATCGCTCCAGCAGCGCTGCCGCCAGCCAGCAAGTGCCCGAATCCCCTCACCAGGCAACGAGTTCTTTCCTATATGGAAAGAGTTTGCCTCGATTGGCAGCCTGGCTGGACTGGCCTGGGCCCAGAAGCTTTCGGTAGGCCCCAGGATGTTGCGCCTCTGATGCAGCTACTGGGCCTCATTTGGCTGGGTCTCCCAACTGTCTGTGTGTGAGACTGCGAATCTGGCCCAGGGCCTAAGCTTTCGGAAAACCCTGGAAGGCCTGGGAATTTCCATGTTGCTCGGCCTGTGTTTCCCTTCAACCAACTGCCGCGACGAAACTGCCTGGACCCCCAAATGCAAAATTGACAACCAAGGGCCTCTCGTGATTTGTTAGTCCCGTCTTCACTTAGGGTGGGTGCTCTTGCAACAGGGGCCCCTCAGGCCTGCCGAGGACCCAAATCCTCGCATTCCCTCCTCCTTTACTTCGTTAGTCCTCTAAGAAGTTTGTCACTCTGCAGGCATTTTCCCTTTGAGTTCTCTTTCGTAACTTGCAATCACTTGAGGTGTTGTTCTCATGAGTTTTTTTCGTGTGAAGCAGCGATCTTCTTTAGGATCCAGATGATGTATGAATCTTACACGGTACTGCATTCTTGGTTTAGGAGGGCGCCTCTCCCCGATGGTCGAGGTACCGGCATCACTTGATGCTCCACGATCTGGTCAATATCCACTTCGTCATCCATAGTTGGTGCAGGATTGATCTCCTTAAGGGAAACTGATCAGTGGCAGCGAAAGGTGTCAGCTTGGATGCATGGAAAACAGGGTAAGTGCACAAATGTGGAGGGATGCGAATCGCGTATGAAGGCCCATCTGGTTGATCCCCTGCAATGTCTAAGATCTCTTAGGGCCCAAAGTATTGTGGCATTAGTTTACGTGAAATGCCTAACTTCTGACCTACTTCAGATGACTTAACCCATACTTTATCACCTACCTAAAAGTTAGAGGGTCGTCTGTGCTTATTCTCATATGCGATCACTGGATCCTGAGGTTTCCTAATATGTTCAACGGCTTGCTGCAACATCTGATCATATTTGACAACAAACTCTATGGTGCCAGGTGCTGCAGTGAGTTTTCTTTCTGTTAGCAGAAAGTCAAGTGCAGTTCTGGGTCTCCAACCAAGGTGCAGTTGGTTGGGAGTCATACAAGTAGTACTATGCACAACATTGTTATACAGGCTGGTGACGAGAGGTAACTTATCGTCCCAGTCATCCTGACTTGGCTTAGTAAAATAATGCCGAAGCAGGTGCTGTACTCCCCGGTTCATCTATTCTGCCTGACCATTTGACTCAGGGTGATTCCCTTACGTCATTTGGAGCTTGGTACCCATCTTTTCAGCAGTTGATTGCCACAGTTCACTGGTGAATCTCACATCTCTGTCACTAACAATAGATGTGGGCAAACCGAAGTCACGTACCCAGTTATCCATAAAGAGTTGGATGACGTAGTCAATTTTAGCATTTTTTGGAATAGCGATTAGTCTGACATACTTAGAAAAGTGATCCACTATGACAAAGATGTGTCGTTTCCCAGACCTTCTGGTCACAAGAGTATCCATGAAATCCATGGACACACTCTGACCTGGTCCTTCAGGAATCGGTAAGGGCTTAATCAAACCAAGTGGAGCCTGAGTCCTGGGTCTATCCCTTTGGCAAACCTGATAGGTTTCAACGTATCTCTTAGCATCTTGCATTATAGAGGGCCACAAAAATCTATGTAATAAGTTCGTTGATGTCTTTCTATAGCCAAAATGACCAGTTGCATCATGACATTCTCCTAAAAATAAATTACGTAAAGACTCACTATCAGGAACACACAACATTTTATTCCCTGCCTTCTCAAGAAACAACAAGTTGTCTACCATCATAAATTCGTCCAAAGTTTTTTTGTCCTTCGCTTGAAATCTACGGATGATCTCAGACATAATTGGATTTTGTTGATAGGCTTCAGCCAACAATCGAGTTAAGTTGTAAGATATGCCAAATTCAGTTACTAGTGCGTCCAGGTAATCTGTCCGACATGACAATGCATCAGCTACCTTATTGTACTCTCCTTTGATTGGATCAAGTTGATAGTCATACATGTCTATCACTTGAATCCATCGCTTGAGTGCGTCCGAGAGTACCGACTGTGTCTTAATCCAGCGCAAGGTCTCCTGGTCAGATCTTACATAAAAGAATTTGCCAAGGAGATAGTGTCTCCAGTGAACCAACGCCCTATACAAGGCATAAAGCTCACACTCGTAAGTGAACCTGGTTAGTTTCTGAGATGACATATTTTTACTCATATACTCGATAAATCTCAACTTCTTCCCCTCCTTTTGCACAAGGACCATGCCTATGCCATATTGGTTGGCGTCTGTGGTCACGACAAAAGGCTGATCAGAATCCGGGATCTTGTGGACTTCATAGTGTGTTAGAGCATACTTCAATTTCTTGAAGGTTGCCTCACACTCTTCTGTCCATTCCCAAGGGGTGTCAAATCGGGTTAGATCTGTTAGTGGGGAAGCTATAGTACTATAGTTTTTCACAAACGGACGGTAATAACCTGTCATCCCCCAAAACGATCTGATCTCATTAACAGTCTGAAGTCTGGGTCAGTCACGAATGCTGGTCACCTTTGCATCGTCTAGCCTCAACCCATCTGCTGAAATTTCATGACCCAAGTACAAGATCTTGGTATGACCAAACTCGCATTTCTCCAAGTTAACCTTGTACTAGTGTTGTCTTAGGAGACCTAACACTATTTTCAAGTGCTCAGTGTGCTCCTCTACAGTCTTACTAAAGATGAGGATATCGTCGAGGTACACAACGATAAACTTATC